GGGGGGAGAAAAAGGGGGGGGGGGCCCCCCCCCCCCCCAAATTTACCCCCCCAGACTCCATGGGGGGCCTGGACCCCCCTGATTCAGCATCGAGACCCCCCCAGATTTGGGGTCAGGACCCCCCCGGGTTGGGGTTAGGACCAGGAATTTTGGTCCCTGAGCCCAGAATCAGATCCTTGCCCTCCAAATCTGTGTCCCCGTCCCTGTCCCCAGGGGCCGCTCCCCGCAGCCGCCGGCCGAGGAGGAGGAGGAGGATTTCGACGACTCCCTGGTGGCTGTGGACACCTGTGAGTGTCCCTGAGACGTCCCCATATGACCCCCGGTGTCCCCTGGTGTCCCCCCCGCTGTCCCCCCGGTGACCCGCGCTGTCCCCACAGATAACTGTGACCTGCACTTCAAGGTGGCGCGGGACAGGTACGGGGGGCACCCGCTGACCATCGAGGGCTTCGCCTACCTGTGGTCAGGGGCCAGGGCCACCTACGGCGTGCGGCAGGGCCGCGTCTGCTTCGAGATGAAGGTGAGGGGACACCCTGGGGACACCCTGGGGACACCCTGGGATCAGGGATTGGGGACATCCTGGGATTTGGGACATGGGACAGGGGTTGGGGACGGGGACATGGGGACAGGGACAGGTCCCAGTGGTGATGCTGAAGCCCAGTGCTGGGTGAGAGTGACAGGGCCCAGTGACAGGAGCCAGATGTCCCCAGATGTCCCCAGATGTCCCCAGTGTCCCCAGATGTCCCCAGATGTCCCCAGTGTCCCCTCTGTCCCCTCAGGTGATGGAGGAGATCTCGGTGCAGCACCTGCCGTCCTCAGAGCCCGACCCCCACGTGGTGAGAGTGGGCTGGTCCCTGGACTCGTGCAGCACCCAGCTGGGTGAGTGTCCCCAAGTGTCCCCACTGCCCCCGCTGTCTCCTTCCCCCTGGAATTCTGGGATTTGTGAAGGGAATTTCTTTGCATTTGGGGCTCCCCCGAAGGAATTCCAGGCTCTGCACCAGGAATTTTTGTCCCAAACAGGGGAATTTTGGGATCCCTGTGGGGAGCAGGTTGGGAATTCCGTTCTCCCCGCGGAGAATTTTCTGTCCTTTTCCCGAATTCCCGGTTTTTCCCCCCAGGGGAGGAGCCCTTCTCCTACGGCTACGGCGGCACCGGCCGCAAATCCACCGACGCCAAATTCCAGAGCTACGGAGAGACCTTCGGAGAGAGTGACGTCATCGCCTGCCTGGCGGTGAGGGGCACACCTGGGGACACCTGGGGACACCTGGGAGGGGTCACAGGCACACCTGGGGACAGCAACTGGGTGGCTGGAGAGTGACCAGTGACCACAGGGTGACCGCAGGGTGACCAGGGCGGTGACTGCCTCCTGGGCTGGGGACCCTGAGGTCGCTCCCAGAGGAGATTTTTGGGATTCTGGGATTTGGAGAGTTTGGGATTTTGTGCTTTTACTCCTCTGAGATTTTGGGATTTTGCTTTTTCTGCTCCCACAGCTCAGCTGGTTCCGCCTTTCTGCCCATTTCTGATACTTTTTCACCATTTTTCCCTGCTTTCCCCCCGTTTTTTCCCCCCCGTTCTCCTGGTGCTTGCAGGATTTCGAGGCGGGCGAGGAGGTGGAGCTGTCGTTCCTCAAGAACGGGCGCTGGCAGGGCGTGGCGTTCCGCGTGCGCAAGGACGCGCTGGCCGGCCGGCCGCTCTTCCCGCACGTGCTGGTCAAGAACTGCGCCGTGGAGTTCAACTTCGGCCAGCGGCCGGAGCCCCTGCGGCCACTGCCCCCCGGCTTCACCCTCATCCAGCACCTGCCCCTCGGACAGCGCCTGCGCGGCACCCGCGGGCCCAGCAGCAAGGCCGAGTGCGAGGTGGGGACGCCCTGGGGGCACCCTGGGGACATCCGGGGGAAAT